TATTTATAAGAATCATTTCCTTCAGGATGAGTTGTAACTTCCACTAGCTACTTGTATGTTTCGATGACATCATCGCTGAGATTTATGTGAAATGACTCCTTTTCCTTGATGTTATCAAGGAGTTTGAGCAGTTGAGTTCCTTATAGTTCTTTGTGTTTAAACCATATCTGCAGAAGCTGTCATTTGTCAAGGTTTAATTGTTTCCATGATTTTTTTCCTGGTGAGTTTCCAGATATTGCTGGGCAGCTTCGATAAAGACACTCGAAAAGAAGACATTAAGAAATGGATGGAACATGGTCACCAGTTCCAGGTTCTAGGCCACTTTTCAGCTGTGTCATCTGGAGTTAGTCATTTCTTTCTGGGTATTTTCTCACTTATATGAAATTGGAGGGGAGGGTAAGAGGGACATTAGACAAGATTATTTTGAAGATCCTGTCCTGGCCGGGCACGGTGGGTCACACCTGTAATCACAGCTCTTAGGGAGGCAGAGGCGGGAGGATAGCTTGAGCCCAGGAGTTCAAGACCTGCCTGGGCAATATAGCAAGACCTCGTTCTAAAAAAAAAAAAAAAAATCCTGTCCAGCTCTGCCTGCCTATGATGAGTTTTAATTCTGAGCTTATAATAGCATATTTTATAGTCCTAGTGCCAAGTATTCTTAAAGTTATCTCCATATCTAAGTCTTTCAATAAATAGAAAAGTATATTGTTGACTAGGGCCTTAGAGGCCAATGCTTGAATCCTTCCCAAGCCACCCTTGCTAGGTGGTCACCCTGTGTCAACTAACACCTACGGGGACAAGAAACTCCCTCCCTCCCGAGGGAGCCCATTTCTCTTTATTTGTAACGAGCATTTAAAAGGTGTTTCTTGGCCAGACGCAGTGGCTCACGCCTGTAATCCCAGCACTTTGGGAGGCTGTGGCGGGTGGATCACGAGGTCAGGAGATTGAGACCATCCTGGCTAAAATGGTGAAACCCCATCTCTACTAAAAATACAAATACAAAAAATTAGCCGGGCGCGGTGGCGGGCGCCTGTAGTCCCAGCTACTCGGGAGGCTGAGGCAGGAGAATCGCTTGAATCCGGGAGGCGGAGCTTTCAGTGAGCCAAGATTGCGCCACTGCACTCCAGCCTGGGCGACAGAGAGAGACTCCATCTCAAAAAACAAAACAAAACAAAACAAAAACCAAAGGTGTTTCTTGGCAGAGCTGAAATCTGTAACCTCGTAACTTCCATTTACTGTCTGCTCTCTGGATCACTTTGCAAAGGACACTTTTCTTTTGTCCCCTTCCCTGCACCCTTGGCAACCTCAGAGAAGGTGTTTCTAATTCCCTGATCTTGGAGAAGGGGGTTTTCCCTTTTCTATTTTATTTTATTTGTATTTTTTCTGGTGAAAAGATACATATATATCTTTAGAATTAGCCAGCCAGACTCAGATTAGATGGTCCCAATTTTGTTGGCAACTTCCAAAGCATGGTCATTAGGAGCCAGTGGACACATGTCTTCTTCTCTCCATCAGGTCGACTCAGTGTTGGCCTCGGCCACATCGGTGTCATGGAGCTCCTTCCCTTCTTCTTTCCATCAGGTCGACTCAGTGTTGGCCTTGGCCACATCGGTGTCATGGAGCTCCTTCCCTTCTTCTCTCCATCAGGTCGACTCAGTGTTGACCTTGGCTCCTTCACAGCCTGTTCCATCTGGTTCTTGTTGGTTTTAACAATCCACAGTGTACACAAGTGTGTTGCCTTCTGTCTTCGTGGCTGCTTCTCCAGCAGCATCAATGCCCCCCACATTTTTTTTTTTTTTTTTTTGAGACGGAGTCTTGCTCTGTTGCCAGGCTGCGGTGCTATGGCACGATCTCGGCTCACTGCAACCTCTGCCTCCCAGATTCAAGCGGTTCTCCTGCCTCAGCCTCCTGCATAGCTGGGACTACAGGCGCCCGCCACCACGCCCGGCTAGTTTTGTATTTTTAGTAAAGACAGAGTTTCACCATGTTGGCCAGGCTGGTCTTGAACTCATGACCTCAAGTGATTCCCCTCTCCTCAGCCTCCCAAAGTGCTGGGATTACAGGTGTGAGCCACCATGCCCGGCCACCAGTGGCCCCTTTATACTCTTTATTCCTGGAGGGAAATCACAAAGCCTCCCACGCACCTGCCCGTTCTCCAGAGACTTAGCCCCGCAATCACCTCAGGGTCAGTGGAAACTTGAGGCTGGCATAGTGGTCAAGCTTGGTTCTTCTGGGGGCACTCTTCCAAGAACATTTGGGCTACCTCTGGAGTCGCAGTGTCTTGGGCCACCAGAGGTGGATGACGTGGTCTCTGGAGAATGGGCAGGTGCATGGGAGGCTTTGTCCTGTGGACACCTCTCAGCACGGCCTTCTTGGCCCTCAAAGCCTTCACTTTGGCTTTGGTTTTGGTTTGAGGAGGGGCAGGAGCTTCCTTCTTCGCCTTGAGTGCCATCTTTTGAAAAGTCCTTTCGCCGGGCGCGGTGGCTCAAGCCTGTAATCCCAGCACTTTGGGAGGCCGAGACGGGCGGATCACGAGGTCAGGAGATCGAGACCATCCTGGCTAACACGGTGAAACCCCGTCTCTACTAAAAATACAAAAACTTAGCCGGGCGAGGTGGCGGGCGCCTGTAGTCCCAGCTACTCGGGAGGCTGAGGCAGGAGAATGGCGTGAACCCGGGAGGCGGAGCTTGCAGTGAGCTGAGATCCGGCCACTGCACTCCAGCCTGGGTGACAGAGCGAGACTCCGTCTCAAAAAAAAAAAAAAAGAAAAGTCCTTTCCTATTTTAGACTTCAGCACCTGAACAAGAGTAAGCAGGTATGTACGCCAAGCTCCAATGATGACCGTGAACCCTACAGAGTCGGAAGTGTGGAAGGTGAGGCGTTGTGTCCCTTGTCTGAGACTTTGTCCTTTTGCCCTGAGCAAAAGTCTGGACCTCACTGAGCTGCCCTACAGCCGTGTGGCTGTCCCTTCCTTTTCTAACGCTGGCCTTTCTCCCTTCTCGTATTCCCCCTTTCTTCTGTAGCCCTAGTGGGGTCCCTGCATCTCCCAACCCCATTTTTCTGTCACCAACACTCTTATCAGAAATCTCCTGGCCCTAGTTCTCTCTTGTCCCTACAAATTGTGCAGCCTCCAGCATCTCTCTCTGCTGTCCTGACTTTCTGCCACTGGGTACAGAGAAGAGGTAGCTCTGAGACCCAAGAGTGGACAAAAAGGACATTCAGGATAAAAGGGACTCCCATTTCAGAGTGCAGTTTGCTCTCCCCCAAATATGTTAGGACAAAAATTAGACCCATCTTGCACCTCAAGGATTAGTTAACTTTCAAAGGGGCTGCATACGTACTTCACGTTCCTTTTGTCAACACAGCTTTAATCTTTCACTTTGTAGAACAGAGGTCCCTCTGCCTTCTCAACCCTAGGTCTTCATCACAATGTGCTTTTCCATTAACTTGGGGAAATTATGCCCACATGTTCCTGCCTAATTCTTGGGTTCCTACCGTGGATGGGAAGGTATGAAATGGGAGAGGCTTTAAAGAGAAAGGTTTTTATTTTTGCACCAGCCATGGTTCAACTACAGAAACAGAGCAAGTAGGATATGTATGCTGACATATGAAGGGATTCCGTGCAAGGAATTCATTTATGCAATGGTGGGGGATGGCTAGGAAAGTCTGAAAGCCCCAGGGCAGGCCATCAGGAAGGAGAGGCAAGCTCTCAGGTGGAATTTCTTTTTCCTCAGGGAAACCTCAGCCCTGCTCTTAAGATCTTTCACCCAGTAGCTCATGCCTGTAATCCCAGCACTTTGGGAGGCTGAGGCGGTCGGATCACGAGGTCAGGAGATGGAGACCATCCTGGCTAACAAGGCGAAACCCTGTCTCTACTAAAAAAATGCAAAAAGTTAGCTGGGCGCGGTGGTGGCCCTTGTAGTCCCAGCTACTTGGGAGGCTGAGGCAGGAGAATGGCGTGAACCCGGGAGGCGGAGCTTGCGGTGAGCCGAGATCATGCCACTGCACTCCAGCCTGGGTGACAGAGCGAGACTCCGTCTCAAAAAAAAAAAAAAAAATTAGCCTGGCGTGGCACGCACCACCAGTCCCAGTCACTGGGGAGCCCAAGGCAGGGGAATCACCTGGGCCCGAGAGGTGGAGGCTGCAGTGAGCTGTGATCATGCCACTGTACTCCAGCCTGGGTGACAGAGTGAAACTCTATCTGAAAAGAAAAACAAAAACAAAAAGCCCTTCGCCTATTTGAATTATCTGATGATTTAGGATAACTGTTCTTACCTAAAGTCAATGATTATGGGCTTTAGTCACATCTGTAAAATACGGTACCTTCACAGCAACATCTAGATTCGTGTTTGAATAATAATTGGGGAAAGCAGCCTAACCCAGTTAACACATAAAAAGACCACCACATTCCTCAAATACTTATCTTCGAACTTTGGGAGGGACTCCAGCCTGCACAACAAGAGCAAAACTCTGTCTCAAAAAAACAGAAATAAATAAAAATGAATGTTTGTGGTTCAGGCCTGCTGTCCTATGGAACTAAGATAGCCCATAAATCAATATAGATACTTGCCTCCAGCCATTTCTTTTTCCAGGCAAAATGTACAACCAAGGTGCTCTGCTTGAAGCTCTGCCATCTGGGAATATCCCAGAAATGAGCTGTAACTCTGCAGCTCTCCACTTTCAGGTGATGGCCTGTATATCATGTAGAATCATTTTATCTTTCTCAGCCCACTGATCGTAGGAAATTTCCCAATGAGGCATAGGGGATCCAGTAATGTCAAGATATCCCTTCTAAGTTGAAGGGTAAGTTGTTGCATCTGGCCCCTCCTGCAGCCAAAAAAGAGACGCAACAACTAGTTTATCTATTTGTATTTTGGAGGCAACATATTTCTCACTTGGGTCCACTAACTGAGTCACTAGAAAAGCTGCTAGGGTTTTTATTGTTGTTGTTTTGTTTTCTGTAGAGCTGGAGATCTCACTATATTGCCCAGGCTGGTCTGGAACTCCCAGCCTCAAGTGATCCTCCTACCTCAACTTCCCAAAATGTTAGAATCACAGTCATGAGCCACTGCACCCAGTACAAGCTGCTAGTTTTGAGTGCAGCCCGGAAAAGCAGATTACAACGGGTCCACACTGCCTTGCAATCTACTTTGTCCCCTGAGCCCTGTGATCTAGCAGATCTAATGGTGCTTGAAGTGGCAGATAGGGATGCTGTTTGGAGGCTTTGGTAAGCCCTTATACATGAATCATAGTACAGATTCTTAGGATTTTGAAACAAAGTCCTGCCGTCCTCTGCAGATAACTATTTTCCTAGAGAAACAGCTTTTGGCTTGCTACTGAACCTTAATAGAGGATTGAACACCTAACTATGAGCCACCAATTTACCATGTGACCCGAACTGCCCCTCATGAACTGGGTGTTGTCTGACCCACCAATCCATAAATTTGAGCATATACAACCGTACTCCATTACCAAATAGAAATGGCATGTGTAAGATCAGACTTGAGCAGGCCCTGCAGACATAAGTTGCATAAGGAAATGATCAAATGTCTACGGCTCCTCTTCCTGCTACATTACCTTCTCAGCTTTCCTCTCCCAGCCCACGCCTAGGGTGTTGGCTAGTTGGTCATGGAATCCCTACAAAGGAAATAGGTGGGCAGTCTACTCTATTCCTACTTGATCTGTAGAAGAGGTCTAGGTCAAGTGAACAGAGTGTATCTCAAATCACCAAAACAGAGTCGTGGCCTCTCCATCAATTCCCAGACTTGGGCCTGTTTGTAGACCCAGAATCCCTTGAATGAAGTAGAGTCCAGGTCCCCTTCGGTTAGGACCCTGCTACACTACTGAACTTTTACACTGCTGTTCCTTCTCACGGTTTTCCCCAAAGGGACTGCTCTGGTTTGAATGTCCCCTCCAAAACTCATGTTGAAACTTAATCCCCAATATGGCAGTATTGAGAAGGGGGCCCTTTAAGAGAAGATGAGGTCATGAGAGCTCATGAATGGATTAATTCATTCATGGATTAATGGATTCTTAGGTTAACAGAGTCATGGGTTATATTAGGAGTGGAACTGGTGGCTTTATAAGAAGGGGAAGAGAGACCTAAGCTAGCATGTTAGTGTGCTCAGCCCTCTTGCCCTGTGATTTTCTGTACCACCTCAGGACTCTGCAGAGAATTCCTACCAGAAAGGAAGCCCTCAGCAGACGTCAGGTCATGTGCCTGGACTTCCCAGCCTCCAGAATAGTAAGAAATAAATTTCAGTTCTTTATAAAGTACCTAGTTTCAGGTGTCCTATTGTAAGCAACAGAAAATGTACTAAGACAGAGACCACGATCAACTGGTTAATGCCACAGGTCTCTGTGAGTCAGTCTATTCTGATTCTTGCTTTGGCTCACCAGTCCATTATGGTAACCAGGCTCACCTTTCCTTTGGTGATTAAGTGCTGCCATTTGGTTCCTGCCACTCCAGGATCTCATCATCCCCATTGCTTTAGGGACCCCAGTTTGGTGATTCTACTGTCTTTCTCTCTCTATATATAGAGTAAGGAGATTGAGACCATCCTGGCTAACATGGTGAAACCCCATCTCTACAAAAAATACAAAAAATTAGCCGGACGTAGTGGCACACGCCTGTAGTCCCAGCTTATATATATATACAAAATATATTATAATATATAATATATATATAACCCAGCTTTTATACACACACACACACACACAAACACACACACACAGAGAGAGAGAGAGAGAGAGAGAGAGACAAGAGTGTCTACAGAACTCTTCAAGTATGCTGAGGATCCCTTCACAATTTTTTATTCTCATTCTCATGGTGAAAATGATGTGCAGTTGACCCTCCCAGAGTTGGTCAGCAAGTCTTACTTGATAAATCTATTCTAACATTCCAGTCTCCCTAAGTCTTTGGATATCTTCCTCTACAGTATATCGAAGCAGTTCTGGCATTAACTTTATTTGGTGTAGGCCACCCTTGGGTTCATGTTTCAGCCAACCAACTAAACTGTTAAAGGCTCTTCTAACCCCTCAGTTGAAGAAATTGAATCTGGAATCTCTCTTTAGTGGGTCCATATTGATAAGTTTTGTCTGATTCAACTTTATATTCCATTCCTTCCCCCTTGATTCTAGTTTTTGGTTTTTGCTTTTTAGAGATGGTGGCCTCACTATGACGCCGAAGATGGAGTACAGTGGCTATTCACAGATGAAATCCTAGTGCCCTACATCTATATCATGTAAGACCATTTTCTCTTTCTCAGCCAACTGATCACAGGAAACTCCCCAATGAGAAATAAGGGATCCAATGGTGTCAAGATATCCCTTTTAAGTTGAAAGATAAATCGTTGCATCTAGGCTGGGTACAGTGGCTCACCCCTGTAATCCCAGCACTTTGGGAGGCCAAGGTGGGCAGATCACGAGGTCAGAAGATTGAGACCATCCTGGCTAACATAGTGAAACCCTGTCTCTACTAAAAATACAAAAAAATTAGCCAGGTGTGGTGGTGGGTGCCTGAGTCGCAGCTAATCGGGAGGCTGAGGCAGGAGAATCACTTGAACCCAGGAGGCGGAGCTTGCAGTGAGCTGAGATCGCACCACTGCACTCCAGCCTGGACAACAGAGCAAGACTCCGTCTCAAAAAAAAAAAAAAAAAAATTGTCGATCTGGCCCCTCCTGCAACCAAAAACGAGACACGACACCTAGTTTATCTCTTTGGATTATGGAGGCAACATATTCTCACTTGGGTCCACTAACTGAGTCACTAGAAAAGCTGCTCGGTTTTTGTTTTGTTTTGTTTTTTTATATAGCTGGTGATCTCACTATGTCTCCCAGGCTGGTCTTGAACTCCTGGCCTCAAGTGAACTAGGCTTGAGAAATCCTCCTGCCTCAACCTTCTGGGACTGAAGGCATCATCACACCGGGCAATCCTAGAGTTTCAAGATCCATCTACACACATTCCCCCAGATTTCTATTTATAGAAATTGGAAAAATCATGCAGGATTTTTGGAATACAATATATCTCCTCATGGATCATACTTTATACCTTACCCTTTGGGGCCTGCTGGGACTTGAGTCTCGTTATAGGTTGAGAAGCCAAGAGGAGTGGCAGGGGTAGGTCCTGAGGAGAATCAGCAGAACCTTGCAAGGCAACTTAGAAGAGGCCTATGAGGTTTATTCCAGCAGAGTGTGGCCAATCTACTCAGACAGGAAAGGCTACTTTTGGCAAAGAAGACTTGGCAGAATTTAGGCGTTTGATGATCCCAGCTTCATCAGGATCTGCCCATACATCCCAATTCCAATTATCAGTATCCCGTTCCTTCCCAATCGATGCCCTTGCTTGAACAAAAGATCCTGCAAGATTGAGAATTGAATTTATATTGGAATTTAGCTACTTGGAGGATGAGACCCTGGATTTTGTTTTCAGAAATCTCAGTCCTGTAACCACAGGAGATAAGAGTTTTTCTCAGGGCAGAGAGAGAAGCTTTCAGATCATTTATGCAAAACATGAGCTAGGAATTTGAAGCCCTGAACTCATCCTTTTCTTTCCCTACCTTTTTTTTTTTTGAGACAGAGTCTCGCTCTGTCACCCAGGCTGGAGTGCAGTGTATGGAGTGCAGTGTGATCTCAGCTCACTGCAGGCTCTGCCTCCCAGGTTCAAGCCACTCTTCTGCCTCAATAGCTGAGATTACAGGCGTGTGCCACCACACCCGGCTAATCTTTGTATTTTTAGTAGAGATGGGGTTTTGCCCTGTCTTAAAATATAAATAAATAAATAAATAAATAAATAAATAAATAAATAAATACTCATTTTTAAGATTCTATTCTTCTAGAACCACTTTCAAAACCAAAGCCTATATTAGCCAGACTATAACCAAGACAAAGACGACTAGGAGATAAATATTAAGGGATTTATTGCAAGGAATTGGCCTGTGTGATTGTGGGGACTGGGTAGGCAAATCTGATGTCTGTAGGGCAGACCAGAAAAAGCAAGATAAAACTTTCTTCGGTATTACCAAATGCCGCACTGCCCACAGATGAAGTTTCTTCAGAGAATCCTCAGCTCTGCTCTGAAGGCCTTTCAAGGTCTGATTGAACCAAGCCCATTCAGATTATCTCCCTGTAAAGTCAACTGTATTATGGACTCTGGAGTCACCACTCTCTAAAGACACGCTGCACACAATGCCTAGATTTGTGTGTTTTGATTGGAATTCAATGGGGGAGCTGCTAGCCTCAGCCAATGTTGACTCACATAAAATTGACCGTATCACGCCAGGCGCGTGGGCCTCGATGCCTGTAATCCGTTGTAATGTCCCAGCACTTTGGGGGCCTGGAGGCAGGCAGTATCACCTGAGGGGTCGGGGGTTACGAGACCATCTGACTCCAAACGGAGAAACCCATCTGCTACTAAATAGATACAAAACTTTCGCCAGCGTGGTGGTGCATGCCTGTAATCCCAGCTGAGCTCAGGATGGGCTGAGTCAGGAGAAGTCGCTGAACCTGGGAGGCAGAGGTTGCAGTGAGCCTGGAGATTGTGCATGCACTCCAGCCTCGGCAACAAGAGTGAAGAACTCCATCTCAAAAGAAAAAAAAAAATTGGAGCCGCATCACAGAGTGCTCCCCTGTTAGAAGGTGGAAAGCTTTCAGCAGAGGATGCAGGCACTATGATCACAAATGTGCTGTGAGGCCATCGATTGCTCTGTGGAGCTGGTTTCAAGGGAAGGACTAAGGCTGAAAGGCAGAGAACTAGGTGAAAGATGCATCCAGGCACCGTGCTGTAGAGTGCAATCGTGTACTCCAAAACTCGAGTTGTTGAAGCTAATAACACCTGGTGCGTACTCGTGACTGTATTTTAGAGTACACGTTTAGAGGTGCTTAGGTTAAAATAAGGCTGTTGAGGCCAGGTGTGGTAGCTCACGCCTATAATCACAGCACTTTGGGAGGCCAAGGCAGGTGGATGGCTTGCGCTCATAAGTTCGAGACCAGCCCGAGCAACATGAGAAACCCTGACTCTACAAAAAATACAAAAATTAGCTGGGTGTGGTGGCGCAGGAGGCTGAGGTGGGAGGATGGCTTGAGCCTGGGGGGCGGAGTTTGCAGTCGGTGGCTCACACCTGTAATCCCAGCACTTTGGGAGGCTGAGACTGGTGGATGGCTTGAGGTCAGGAGTTCGAGACCAGCCTGACCAACATGGCGAAAACCCATC